GAAATGTAGCTAATTGGGCGAATACGTATGAATTGAGACCGGGATGGGTTCTATGTTTTTTCAGCTTTCGTCTTCACTATCGAGCTACTCAAAACCTTGTCGTCTATATGCAATCCCCTAATCCGCTGCCTGTGATGGCGAATGATCGCGAGCTTTGCCCTCGAAACCAACGCAGAGGTTGCAAGAAATATCGGCGAAAAAAAAACATATGGAAGAAACGTCCTCTCTAAAACTCTTTGCTGATATCTACATCGGAGTGGCGTACTGGTGCTTTCAGTGCATCGAGAGACACCTGACCATCGATCACGATAACCGACCCTCCAGTTTACCCGAACCTTGATCCCCCTTGAAGATAAACGCCTGCTCTACCAGACATCCAACTTTGGAGTCTTTGAAATAGGGGTCTCATAATCCTAGGGCCAAATCGCTATAAATTCCATCGCGCTGATTGCGTAGCGTTCCCCAAAATCCTGAAGAAAACTATAATTTGGGAGCGCCATTGCTGTAGTGAATAATACTCAATAATTAATCAATAAAATAATAAATAATAAACAATAAATTAATTAATAATTGAACTTGATTTCTGAAAAGTAATTCTGGATTGCCTTCTAAACAATCTGTTGTATCAAATTTTGCCCGCCCTGTAACTTCAGAACTCAGCAATCCTATGTATGTGAAAGTTTTGATTCCTTCCCTTTCTCCTTCAAAATCTTTCCACCAGGTGAATGTATCAGATATCTGCCTTTTAGGACCCTGAACTTCATTAACAGCAATATTACTAACGCACAAGGGGGTCATTTATTTAGAACGGAAAGGGCATCTGCGATGGATGACTAAGACCGACCGCAGTTTAAAGAGATGATAAGTGTGATGAGAAGTGAGTGGGTGAGCGCGTAAGTGCGTCACATTTTTTCCACCCACCACTCGATTGAAAAAGTGACCACGGGGTGGCTGTGGATATTAATAGGCTATAAAAAGGTACCAGAAGGCTTTTAGCGATAAAGATCGGTCGTAGTACGACAGAGTTTGGTAGCCGTCCAAGTGACAGAAGTTACTGTAGGGGCCTAATAGATAAAAGCCCTATGGAAACACTAGGAAGGTCTACGTTCCCCTCAGTTTTAGGTTTGTCTAGTTGGCTTTCTCGAAACGAACTTGAAGACACTTTGCGACTGCCTGACAGCCGGAATTCCTTCGTTTCTTAGACAATCCGAGGCCTGCAATCTCAGAATTCGTCCCTTTTTCGCGGCTCAATAATTAGTGACGAAGGTGGAGGTATCGTCATGAAGCGATAGAGGTGCTACCTCTATGAGTGGCCTCACCTGCGAAATATGTCAGCGGTCCTGCACTGGGGTGGTGAGGGTGGGATGGCGCGTTACACCATTCTATAAAGAGCCGACCTTTGTGGTCTAGCTCACCTTCTAGTTCGTGTTCCTGTCTTCTCATCCATTGTCTCTGAACTTTGGCCAACACAGCAGTGTCGCGCTCCTCCTTGGAGTACTCGCTACTCGCCCATTTCTGGTGTCAAAAAGTTCAGGCCTCAGGTGTTCTGGGGACTTCATGCTAAACAATAACAAAGACTCAGCCAGTCAGCTGAGCACGGGTCCATTGGCATTAACTCAATAACACCAGCAAGTGTTTTCAGCTGACAAAACATCTGACGTCTGGCTTATTCCGCCATTTTTATGGATCTTCCACGAAAAT